AATCCTCACTTTGTGTCATTTTCAATAATATATAGCAATGCCAGAAACATGATTGCTCTTTTGATTCTATTTTGTCCTCTCTGTGGCTACCGATATGACATGGAAATTGTGCTCAGAATGCTTTTACTTTTTGCATGTGACAAGACAGAAGGTTGAAAGTACCTGGGTCTTAGTAGCTAACATTGTTATGAGCAATTTTTGAAGAGGCTTTTCACTAATTATTAAAAACAATAAATATATTTAATGCCCAGAACATTTCCTAGCTTTATGCTGGATTTAATTTTTTCTCTAAGTATTTGTAATTATGTACTTGATATGAGTTGTGGTTACTATTCCTGTATCACATAACAAAATGATCACAATTAAACAAAAGAAAACTAGAGGGTGTTTTTAAACCTCGGGGTGTCAGGGTGTTTTATAACTTCCCTCAGAGACATTGGGTGTTGGCTGCAGCCAAGGCTGGGGACTTTGGGGTGTGCCAATGCTCCTGCTGGGAACAAAGCCAGAGTTTCCCAGCTAGAAGGCCTTGCATTTCCATTCAGGATCAGATTGATCACCATATTTGGGGTCAGGAAGGAATTTTACTCCATAGCATGGCCTATGCCTTCCTCTGTAATAGGGAGCATGCCCCTCTACCTATAATCTCTTGAGAACATACAGGCAGTCCTCAACTTAAGACATTTTGAGTTACAATGAATGGCACTTGCAATGTTTATAAATTGCCACCCTGTTTCAACTTTCCGATGTCAGTTTTGACTTTACAACGCTTGATCCGACATGACACCATGCCAGTGAACAAGTTTGCTGCATCTCCCTGAAGAACATCTGTCCAAACTTCCTTGAACACTTTCTTTAAGAAAGCAGACAGGGCTCCAGAAAAACCTGCAGCCAGGACTCCTGAGAAAACTCCAGCCAAGAACTCTTCAAAAAGTCCAGTAAAGTCACCTCAAAGAAGTCCTTTCAAATCAATATGATTGCTATTTACAATATAAATACTTTAATGTAGTTATATTACTCATCTATAATTGATTGAGTACAAAACTCTGGGTTATATTTGGTGAAAATAGGGCATCAGGCCTTGGTTTAGAAACCAATCCCCCATTTATAACATTGTTCCTATGGGAAAATTGGTTCCAAGTTACGATGTTTCAACTTAAGACATGGTTTTCAGGATCCAATTGTGTCATAAGTCTGAAGACTGCCTGCACTGACAATATTTTATAGAAGCAGAACACTGGCACTATAATTCCCCTGCTTTACCAGTGGCAGGTTATGGTGTTAGGACTGCGTTGTGTCAGGGTTGGTGGTAGTCTTATGCTGAATTTCGATTATGGATTATATAGGATGGTTTGTATAAGGATGAACCTGCCTCAGGCAGGTGGTTGGATTAAATGACCTCTGGAGGTGCCTTCCAGCCCTAGTGATTCTAGGATAGAGAGCACAAAAGGACAATCAATACACAACTTATCTGTGACACGTTAAAAAAAAAATTATCATGCCATAATGGCAAAACATACCCCTGTTCCATCTCTAGTTGACCAGAACATGATGCCTGTTCGTGAGTGACAGTTTTGGCCATGTTCATGACCTGCAGGATATATCATTGTAATTCATTATATCTAAGAAGAAAGCCACCCACTAGAAAAAGCCCCAACTGGTATGAAACACAGCAGTCCCTCAGTTTAATAGTACCAGCTCCCATGAATACATCACCTCAGTGGTCTACTTTCTGAAATAACTTCCTACTTCAAGCTCTATCTAGATGAAGTTAGTAAATCATCACCTCTTCCTTCCACAGCCATATCCTCTCTGTTGCAACTATTATGTTGCAAAAGAATAGAAATATGATGACAAAAGACTAGAACTAGTCAAATTTTCTCCTGGAATTTCTTCCCATTGGACAATAACATTCAATCAAAATCAGAACAGTCTGCATGAATGTGACAATTTCAACAATCTTGCTTTAAAAAAAAATGACATAAAGCATTCCAATAATGTCAAAACATTTTGTTTTGACAGTTCCAAAAACCAACATTTTTCTTCCGAGTTAGTTGTATAATTTCCTTTATTTTTTTTAAAAAGAACATCTTTCAGAACAAAAATCAAAACCAAGATTTAATTTCCATAGAAATGGGGTATTTCAATTATCCCCCCCAAAATTATTTCAACGCTTTTTTTTGAAGAATGTTTAAGTTTCATTTCTTTATCATTTAGAACAGATTATTATTCTGCAATGAGACAATTTCCCAGCAAATAAAACTCCCAGCTCTCAGCCAGCTTACTCATGAGTACAATGTTAGACTTTCACAGGACCTGCAACTAGATTATGAAATTAATTACTAGAAGAGAAACACCAGAACATTGTCTCCTGGACCCTTCCCCCAGGAGCTGCCTGCTGCCAGGGTGGGCTCCACCACCACAGCCCGGGTGGAGACAATGTCCCCCCTGCCCCAGCAGCAGGGAGCTCCCAGCCCCCACTCTGTGATCATGGAGCCGGGACTGGAAGATAAGAATTTCCCAGCCCCCACTCCCCGATCACAGAGACAGGGCTGGGAAGTAAGATTCCCTCAGTAGAGGCTGGGAGCTCCCTGCTGCTGGGGCAGCGGGGCATTGTCCCTACCCAGGCTCCGGTGGTGGAGCTCACCCTGGCAGCAGGCTGCTCTAGGGGAAAGGGAGCAATCTTCTGCCCCCTGCTGCCCAGCTGATCAGGAGCACATTTGCTCCCAGTTAGCTGTCTACACATGCTGCACTGCGCAGTAATTACTCCTGAGTAAATTTTCTACTTGTATTTACAGGTAGCAAATTTACTCAGGGTTAGAACAAATTACTGTGCAGTAAGCATCAGCACATGTACAGGGTGACGCTTACTGCACAGTAATTTACTCTAATCTCAGTTAAAGCATCTCGTGTAGATGAACCATGCAATTGCAAACCTACTCTGACATTAATTTGTCCCCAGGATGGATAGTGATGATTGCTAAATGTTAGCACAGCACTTTGGAAATGCAAGTACAGTATATTCAATTATTAATATCGTGGTGGGTATCACCATATGACACTATTAAACACAGGCTTCAAAGGTTTTTTTGAGTGTAGAAGGATGTGTTCACTGTTGGGATGTTTATAACTGTGGTGGACTTTTGTTCTGTAAAAAGGAAGTCCCTTTTGGAGAGAGAGCTGGTTAAGCAATAGGAGAGTTTCTCTGCTGTGGGCTCTGATAAGAGTTAATTCTTGAGAATGATTTGATCCTTAAGTTGCAGGTGCTGCTACTTCATTTGTTTCCTTTAAGTTCCTCCTTAAAATTTGTTTTTCCCATGGTTCCTATAAGAACATAATAATGATTAGCATCCTGATGTGCTGAGTACTGCATATTCTGCTGACCAATATTGCTTCATTGTTTCTTTGTGATCTATTGTCTCTCTAGAAGGCTGTTCCAATACAGACCAAGAATGCAACTTTTTAAAATCTTCACAAAAACCATGATAAACCCCCAAGGTCTTCAGAAAAACCATGGATAAACCCCAAGGTAGGGCTTTTGCCAGGGATTTGGAAGAAACATCCATTCATACCATGCCCAAACAACAAACAGGAATAGACTCCTTCTTTCCATTGATGACCAACAGGATTGACTTGAGTGGGGACAGTTTTTTTCCAGAATCATATCTCTTTAGGCCCTAGCACATGTTGAGGGAGGAATGTCTCATTATCTCTGGAAGATATTACCATAAATCCACCCTGGACCCTGGCAACCCTCATGATGGAAGTTCATCAAAACTGATACTGTGAAAAGTCTACGTTTCTGCAAATCATCATCCAATTAAAAAAAATACCAAAAAATTCTGACCTATTCTACAGAGAAGCAATGCTGGTATCAAAATGGGACATTAGTGTTGGAAGAAGAAACATCATCATCATCATCATTATTACCTGCAACACAGTTGCATGACATGGTCAAGTATCTGCCAGAATTTTTCAGTATCATTTGGAGTAAGACAAAGTACTGAAACTTGTAACTTCTTTTGTGAGATTTATCAAAAAGATATTGGCATAGTTTGTTAAAAAATCCTACCAAAATAGAAACTCCAAAGACAGAATCTAGGAAGCTTCTTCTCACATGTAAGTTTAAAGAGCTGGTTACAAAGACTATGCCATGCCATAATTTCCAGACTCTATTTGAGCCTTCTGAACATACCCAGGCTTTCAATTTAACAGCTTGGGTATATTGGACCCTGGATATTATTTGGCAAGTTTCTCAGCTTGCATCTATCAGCCTAAATTCACTGCCTTTAGTGGAAGTACTCCAATTTGCACCAGCTGAGGTTCTGGCAATTTGTTTTCAGTACTGGGATGAAAAGCTTCCCAGGCTAGCAAGGAAGAAATATGGATGCATCATCTCAAGATTTTGTTTTTAACTTTCTGTGGTTGCTTCTTTCCTGTTACCAACTTTGTCTAAAACCCTTTTTCCTATTTCTTAGTAGCTGTTGGATTAATGTTGGTTTCATTCCTCACTGTCACTGCTAGTCTTGTGCAGACAGACAGATAGGCATAAATATATGCATGCATGTTTCCCTATGTTGTGGTTTATTACTTCCAGATGTCTCCAACTTTCAAGGAATCCTTTGTTGCCTAGTCCATCAAGTTCTGCAAACTTGTTGCTAAGTATTGCAATTCCCAGGTGAGTTGGCAAATCTTGGCACTGAATAATAACAACCCACAAGTATACTAGGATTTTAAATTTAGAACACAGGGTCTGAACAACTTTTCTGGCTGACTGCCACCAAAGATAAAGTTGATTAAGGACGGTACTCTAAAAAGTAATATAATATATAACTTATTGCAGCAGCCTCAGCATTTTCCACATAGCTATCTGACCTTTCCCACTTTCAGCAGAAGTGGGTACTAATAACTATATACTAAGCAGTAAATCAGTCACAAGTTCTGATGACCAGGAGTAGAAGAGAAGATGTATCCCTAGTGGTAAATACTATGGATTTACTTACAGTTTTGATCACATAAATTTTGGATGATGACTTTGAATCCTTTGTAATGACTGTGCCTGGTCTAAAAAGTAATAGAACACAAAATTAACTTTACAATTCCAGTGATTAATTTCTCTTCCTGGAAATAAAAAACAGTACAATATAATGAAGAGGTTCAGAAAAATCAGATCAGATTGTCATTTTAACAGCTCCAAATAAATAGTAGCATTATCTTCTATTGCCCTTCTTTGGAATTTGGACAAACAAAACAATCACTTAAATGGCAGTAAGCCACGATACATTGTATTCAAGGACAGTAAAGAATAACATATCCCTATCCATTCTAGTTTTCTCCTCTAGGAAAGATGGGAAAATGAATGCCTTGTAAAAGAGTTCCCTGCAGAATCTTTAGTAGTCTTAGTGATTTACTCCATTTCAAACTTAGGCCAAAACTTTCAAATGAACATACACAATTGTTGACTTCAAGGGGAGCAGAAGCATTAAGACAAGATCTCTAATTAAGTCTACATTTTCAGACTTCCACATCTTCAGGTAAGCATGCAAACCAATGCTCAGTGGTGTTAGCAGAATAAGACCTGAATTCCAAGTGCCCTGAGCACCCACAATACTTATGAAAATTGAGCAGGTCTTGTGTTGTTAGCCCATCCAAAATAATGTTTGAATATGGCTTAAGAAGTCTAACTTTTACCACCTCTCTCCAATATTTCAGAAACTATTTAAAATTATGGAGACCCATTTAAACTATTTAAAATTAAGGAGACAATTGCTGTTCCCACTGTAATCAATGGCAACACTCCCATTAATGATTAAAGCAAGTGTAATTTGTGTGTCTGCTGTTGGTGGGAAAAATCATCATTAAGGGCAGGTTACATGTTCGTTTCTGAATGTCTGAACTGCGACAGTAGTCTCAATGGATAATTAGGATTTCCAGGAATGTATTCTGAAGGAAGACTTATTTTAGGAGCACAGGAAAGTAGGGCCAGAAGGGACCTCATGAGGTCATTTTGTCCAGCCTCCTGCTTTCAGAAATTCCTTAGCTGGAAACTTGATGGCTAAGATGACAGTATATAATACCCTGAAATTCTATAGAAAAATCCTACACATTAAGGAATCTTCACACACACTCTTGGTAGATAAAAGCTATTCCAGTTTTGACTTTATAGTGAGATGACCTTGATCGCACAAGTCAGTAGCAGAACAAATGAGCCCACAAATCTGACTCCCAGTTGTGCAGTATAATCTCTAAATATGGAACTGGACCTGATGAGATGCTGATGGACAAAATGAGAATTAAGTTAATCTTTGTGACTTTATATTCTTTGTTGTTATCTGGGCACCTTTTAAACAGGGCATAAATTGGGATAATCAATACCTGATTAAGAAAGATCAGATCAACCATCAGCTCTTCTGCTGTCTGTGACTCAGCTAGAAAGCCAAGATTTAATTGGTAGGAAAAAGAGATATGTCTTTAGCTCCTTCTAAAAGTAGAAGAAACCCAAGCAGGGGAGAAGGGGACCAAACAGAATATTCAGGGAGATAGATACAAATATTGAAATTGCCAGAAAAGGAAAAATATCACTAGAGCTCAGTATTCAAACTTTTTTTCAGTAACTTCTTTTCAAAGTAGAGAAATAAACAGGCCTGACATTTATTCATTAAACTTCCTGCAAATACTAATAAAAAAAAATCTGCCTGTTAGTTATCCCTTTGATGGCAATAGCAAGATCAGTTAGAGTTGGTTTTATAAAGCTGAAATAAATATGAAAGGAGAGAAAAAGACCAAAAGATTCAAACAAAGTAAATCTTCAAAAGACAAACACGATTCCACTACTGTGTCTACTGATCTTTTTCTCAACATGTTATCTTTTTATTCTAGGTATTTAACTGAAAGCAGAGAGGAGAGAGCACAATGCAAGATATTTTTTTTCTTTGCTCTCAGGAATCTTTTCCTAAGAGCCTAGAAATTGCTGCAGTGGATCAGACCTTTGAATGGGAACAGCCAATGCTGACCGCTTGTGAGAAAGTGAGAATATTGCAGTAGCTGTACAAGGAATAATCTGTCCTTTATTTAAGGTTTTATTCAATGCTTATAATAAGAGATTGGCTTTAGCCCTGAAGAATGAGGTTTAATTTTCTTCCCAAATGTTTGTAAGAATGAATTACAGTAACTCAGGATATTCTTATTATCAATGTAAATGTTGAATCCCTTTGCAATTCTTGGAAAATTCTTGACCCCAATTACTTTCTGTGGCAATATAATTTCTGCAATCTAATTTTACAGGGTGTGAAAAAAAAATTCTTCCTATCAGTTTTGAGTTCACTTTTTTTTTTAAATTACACTGAATGTCACCTTGTTCTGATGTTTGGGACAGAAAGAACAGAAATTTTTAAATTTCTTTTTCACATATACATGTGTTACATCAGCTCTTACTATTGATTTTATATATGTGTCTAAAATAAAATAAGATAAAACATTAGAAGCAATGGAACAAAATTAGACAGAGTCCTGTAGAGAAGTGTAAAACTGGATCTTTATCTTGTGGTTTCAGTTGTGTGACATTAAAACATTTCTCTCACCAGATTAATCATTAATATTATGTCTTTTAGGGAAAACTCACATCTGTTTGAAATTTCTCATGCCTCAAAGTATGGCTGGTTCTGAAATTTTCCCCTGAGACTTTTTTGACAGAAAATTGGATCTTCAACTAAACATTTTTTTTTGCGCTGGCTTCCCTGAAAAATTGTGATTTTTAATACCTCTCAGCCCCAAATATCTGAAAACTTGAATTTGGAAAATCTTCTTCATTGCCTCAGGGGAGTTGTTAGGGTGAATCTTGCCCTCTTTTTACGCAAGAAGCAAGAGTTGTTTGGTAATGTCTTTTATTCGATTAACTGCATAGTTGGAAGAGACGTTAGATAAGCTTTCCGGCACAAAATGCTATTCCTGGGTCTTTCTAAGGTTCAGGAAGGGCATTTTGAGCCTAAAATCTTGTCTAACACCTCTCCCTGCTCTACAGTTAATCCAGTAAAGGGCATTACAAAATACATCTTGCTTTTTTGAATTGTCCCTAGACCATCAAAGTTATATAATACTAAAAGACTCTTTCTTATGGACTAAGGTCCCCAGCTATATTACACCTTCTGTGGCTGCATCTTCATGAGGCGTTGACTGCGCAGTAGCTTGTTACTACTGCGCAGTAACATTGCGTGGCAGGAAGCTTTATGTGATGCTAGTATACAGTATTAAGGAGCTACTGCACAGTCAGTGTCACCTATAAAGCCATTCAGTGATGCTGCTGCACTGCAACTTGTGTTACTATGCAGTCATTTAGTACTTGAAATGACTGCACAGAAATGACTGTGCAGTAAGCAATGCACGTAGACATGGCCTGTGAGACATAATTAGGGTGACCATATGGGACAATGTGAAATCTGGGACATTGTCCTCTCCACACACCCCCCTTCACTGATGCATTGAGAGGTGGAGGTGGAGCACCACTGATATTACTATTCAGGCAACTAAGGAGTCAACAGCCTGTTAATGACCCATTGTTTTCTTCACAGGTATTAACAATCCCCTTTTTAATAGTCATTCCATTAATCAAGCTAAGCTATTAGGGCAATTTTGCTGTCTGCCAGGGCTTCTCGTGCCCCTGCCATCCTGTGCCACACCCCAGGATGCTTGTTTTAATTTTCACCGGCAAGCTGGGATCAGACTGAAATACAGGACTGTCCCAGCCAATCCAGGATATATGGTTATCCAGGACATATAGCTATGGAATTCCCTTATAACTTTAATAGCTCAGCAAGATGGGAAACCAGGAAGCTTCATGGGAGGTGCAGTCCAGCCACAAAACCCACCACTCACAGAAAGAAGGGAAATGAAGCACCTAAATGACAACAATCATGAGGCACCGGGGTTACATTTCTTTCTAAACAATTTTATTTCAAAATCTATTCATTGGCACCAATTTGGATAATTGTATCTATTACATTACTCAACAGTAATAAAATGTATTGATAATGACATAAATGGTAGTCATTCCAGTGACCTCAACAGACTTCAGATTCAATCCCCCTCCCCCCTCCCCACCACCCTCTTCCCCTCCCCCAGGGCTTGCAAGACCTGAAAAAATAATAGCCACAGCATCAAATCCCAGTTTGGTACCTGTGCCCTGGGATAAAGACTCCACTGGAACAACATTAATTGAAATAATTTACCTGAAAAAGGTCTGAGCACAAATTCTGGGGTTGTTGTAAGGCAACTTTTCAATTGGCCATCCTGAAAGAAGTTCAGTCTTGTGCAGGAAATCTATAAAATCTGGCCCCTCAGTAGATTCCCGGCTCAGAAATATATTTAAGAAGTCCTAGGAAAATAAAGGAGTCTTCATTAAATGCTGAAAACAATGATCGCATAAGAAATCAGTGGGGCTAACTGTTTTGTTTCTCAATGGACTCAGTGGGTACATTCAGCACAACCCCTGGGGCCGGAGGTTACTATTGGCAATTTTACATGTGCCCCAATACGTTCTGATTAGAACACGTCAGAGTTAATTGAATCTGATGGAGTGCCCTAATCAAAACACTCCAGTGTGCTGCAGCATCTCATGTATTCAGCATCCCCGTGTTTCAAAATGGCAGCGGGGACACTTTTACTAATGCTCGCCAAATGAGCTTTAGTTAAAGCGCCCCCTCTGCCATTTTGAAATGCGGGAGGCTGAATACACGACACACTGCAATCATTTTAATGAGAGCTGCTCTAATTAAAATGCCTTAACTCCACCCCAGAGCACATGTATAGGTGCCCTATATGTCTCTGATACACCCAATACAAATACAATGGTGTTTGCTCCTGGAGGGTAGGAATACACTTACTAGGGCCTTTACTAGGAATAAATCACTATGTTCTGCACTAGCTGAGCTCCTCTAGCCAGCAGATAGGGGTCGGTGGGGCTGAGGAATCTCATCTTGTAATCCTTTGGAGAATGGGTAAGGACACTAGGAGACCAGTTTATTCTTATGGAATTCAACCAAAGATCCAAGTCATTCACATAGTGCACAAGGAGGTGCGCTACTTCTTATTCCTTGTATGGGTGGGTAACCCATGTCACACTACAGTCCACAATTAAAAATGCTGCAAGGAAAAGATTTGGGTTTGGTATAACTCTTATTTTTCAGAGTTTTCTTATGCATTTAAGATGAATGATAAAATATCTCAGGGAGAGATAAGAAAACATAAGTCTCTTGAAAAGGGATGTTTTCAAGAATTAAGCAACACACATTATTTAGCTTAGAAACACTTGAGACAGAGAGTAGTCAAAGGCAAGATGGAGTGTTGATAAGAATGGTCCCCTACCTTGGGCAAATTCAAGAGGAGGTTGGATGATCACCTGTCTGGGGTCTCGTGAACCCAGCGTTCATTCCTGCCTGTGGCAGGGGGTCAGGCTAGATGATCTGTTCAGGTCCCTCCTGACCCTAGCTACTATGAAACTATGTCTGTGTGTGTATAGTGTCAGGCTTGGCTCATTCCGGTCCCCACAAGTAGCAGGATACCAATCACACTTAGCTATTAGGTGTTTTGTCTATGTGGAATATGGTCGCTTCCCATCTCTCTCTGCTTCCATGCCCAGTGGTCTGTGGGACACAGGAAATGGCAAGAGATAATAAACATCTCACTAGAAGACAGGAAGAGAATCTCTGTCCCCCAGGGAAAAAAGATATCATGCCCAGTCTGCTACCCATGGAAGGAAGATTTTTAAAACACAAAAGAAATGAACAGGTGTGAATGGGAACCAGGTTGCTTCTGGTGGGGAGGTGAGCCTAGCCTCACATTGCTCTGAAAAGAGTTTGGGATGCTGATCCCTGATGACCTGCCAGAACAAGACTAATATGCAAAATGGATTCATCTTTCCTTTCTTCCATTAAATGAAGACAAAGGGTCAAACCACAAAATCAATATCTAGTAACATTCAAGCAAAAGGTATGGGAGGTAAAAAATCCATTGTTTCAGGAGATCAGAGTCAAATAGTGTAGCTGAGGTTTTAAGTATATAATTTTTATGACTGATCATATCAGTCTCAGTTACATGTGCTAAGGGAAGTGTAATGAAATCTCAGAAAGGAATTTCTCCCTCCAATCTATAGCACTAGTCTCATGATTTATGGGGCAGGTGTTCTTGACCTGACCACTGTGTGGGGGGAGGCAGGACAATGGATTTCATGAATCCGTAGTTTAATCTATTATAGTTTCATAGTTTCATAGTTTCTAGGGTCGGAAGGGACCTGGGCAGATCATCTAGTCCGCCCCCCTGCCATGGCAGGAAAGAGTACTG